AGGCCGAGGTGTTTTTCTATGCCTCGGTGTCTTTTCAGCCTTGAATCTAGCTGAGATCCAAGGCCACCAATATTTTGAGCTACCCCTTGGTGATCCTTGCTTCAGTTTTGGGCCCCAAAGCTCATTTTTTCAATTTTTGGTGCATCTGGCCCTTCGTTTGGGCCAAATGCACAATTTTGTTTTTTTCCTCCTTTTGTTTCTTTCCATTTTGGGCTGCCAACTCATTCCGGAGTTGGCCGTTTGAGTTGACCTCATAAAAAACGGCTATATTCCCTCCTCCATGGATCTAAATCTCAGATCCATGACCCAAAAGAAAACCGGTCATTTTCCTTTTGCATTTTTTCTCTATTTTTTCTTTTTAATTCAAATTTTGCAGTGATATTGCCTCAAGGGTCATATCTCTGCAATGTGGATTGCCCTCCATCAAATCTAGAGGGATGAGGTCACCGTAGGGATCTGCCAGTCCCTGCCGTGCCACTCCCAATAAGCTCCTCCACTCTTTTTTCCCCCTTTGTCTCATTCCTCCTCCGTTTTCTCTCATTTTTCTTTTCTTTTCTTTTATTTCTAACGTGGCAAGTGTCAAGTGGTTGTTGAGTCCTTTTCTAGCCCATGGATCTTCATCTATGGCTAGATTCAGACTCAGCAGTTGGTCGTTGTATCTCGGATTACAATAGTGAAACCCCCATGCTCATACGGGGGCTCCATTTTGTCTCCGTTAGTCTCAATTTTGAACCCCTTTTGCTCCAATGACAACCTTTTTTCTGTGTTGAGTCCCTTCGGGCTCTAGTTTCTCATGCCTAGCTAGTCCGAGATATCCCGGACTGTTGGGCAGCCCTTCTATCATCATTATTTTGCTTTATTTTCTCTCATGGCTCTCCCGCTTGATCCCACTAATGCTTGCACTAGCGGTGCTAATATTTTTCACTGTCTAGATCTTGATCTCGATGGTGCTGTTTGCTTTGCGTGATCATTCCTCACGTTGGCTCATGATTCCCTTGGGACATCTCAAGTCCCCGCCACTCTCCCCGTACTAGTTCTATTTTTTTGTCCCGCCGGTTCATGTCTCATTTTTCGATTATTTTTATTTGGGCTCATTTAGTTCCCGACGTCGTTCCGGATGACGTCGCATTTTTATTTTTGGACTCCCTTGTCCCCGTAAGTTCCAATATCCCATCCTTAAGTGCCTCATGCGTGCCGATTATTCTCGGTCGTGCGACCCTCATCTCACGGTTGTCGTTTACCGCCTCTATTTGCCTCATGCCGCAGTCACTATTTTCTTAGTCTTTTGGGCTTGCTATGACTCATTTTCTCTTGGCCTAGGCATCCTTATGCAGTCCGTTATTTCTCGGACTGCAACTGTGGTCATTTCCCTAGTCCCACAACCTCACAGCTTGCCCCAAATTAAAGAAAATGAAGCTCTCAATTTTCAAGTGCATCCGGGCTCAATGTTGGCTCCGGATGCACCTAAAACATGTGTTTTCCCTTCCCCATGCAGTCCGTTGTAACTCGGACTGCAGTAGGGGTCAATTTTCTAGCCCCATTGCCTTACAACTAGCCCAAAACTGAAGAAAAAAGAAATGGTCAACTTTCAAGTGTATCTGGGTTCACTATTGGTTTCGGATGCACCTAAAACATGTGTTTCTCTTCCCCTATGCAATCTGTTGTATCTCGGTTACATGGTGCCTTGATTTTTCTTCATTTTCTCTGCAAAATCAAAAGAAAATCAAGGTCCTTTGCAATCGCCATATTCCAGAGTGTATCTGGTCACGGATGTATCTCCCCAAGTGACCGTTTTTTACCGTTAAGGTTTTTTTCTCTTTTATTTTCTTTTGTTTTTGGACAGTAGGGACTTGCTAGTCCCTACTTGTGGCAATCCCTACTTACGGCCAACTCACTCACGCACTCTCACTCCTTTTATCTTATTCTCCCACTTTTTTCTTTTATTTTTCTTTCTTTTTCTAGTATGCCAAGTGTCAAGTAGTCGTTTTATCTTTTCGTTCGTTCTTTTTCTAGGTCTTTCCTCTTAGTTTTGGCCCTCCCTATGCCCATGGTGCAATCCGTTATATCTCGGACTGCAACTGTGGCTTCCTCATGCCCATGAGAGCCTCCTTTTACCTCTATTTCTCTCACACAGTGACCCCTTATATTCCGATTTTTTCCTGGAGGCCTATTTTTCACATGGAGTCTCGTTTGACTCCATTTTCTTGAGGGAGGTTAATCCGAGATTTTTCGGATTGATCTCATGCCTCCCACTTCACGTTTTTTTACTTTTTCTTTTCCCTTTTGTTTTTCCGTTTGCTCCCACTAGTGCTTGCACTAGCGGTGCCAATATTCTTGGTCGTCAAGATCTCGATCATGGTGGTGCCTCTTGCTTTAATTATTTTCCCCTCATGCTGCTCCACAGTTCCTCTTGAGACATTCTCATGTCCCCGCCACTTGTCCCATGCTAGTCCTCGACACTTGTCCCGCTGGGTGGTCCCGTCGATACTTGTCCCACCGACGGTCTCGCCTTTACTTGTTCCGCCGATGGTCCCGCCGGTACTTGTCCCGGATACCATTATTTTTACTTAGCTCCACGTGGTCCTTGATACTTTTCCTCACGGTGTCCCGGTTTCTTTTGGCGTCTACCGCCTTGTGGTGACCGCCTTTCCTTGTCTTTTCTCGAGCCTTGCGCGCGCCGGTCTCTCCAGCCGCGGGGCCTCTAATCCGTGGTTTCCGTTAATTGTCGTAGGTGGCCCGACTGCAATCAGACTCGGCTTATTCACACTTCGACATGCATGCAAACAGCGAAACGGCAAACTGGCGACATGCGCCCACACAGTACTCAAGATATCGTAACCAGATAAGAGTTCTCTTCCAACTGGCTATGGCGTCCGAGCGCCCATAGAACTCACTGTTCGCACTCTAGATCACCCTGGATGTCCCACACACAACACTCTGTACTCACACGCGACACACACACACACTACTATAGCTATGGCAGCTATGGCTGCCACTACCCTATCGCTACACTACGCTTCTCTGCCCGTTTCGTCTTCGGGCGCACTGCAGACCTCCTCGCACAAGCTGCTCAGGCAGCGCTTCCGCATGGCATCCGCAGGAATGAATGAATGGCTGGGCGCATCCTCTTGATTTATACTTTTGTGCTGTGTTGGTCTGCCCTGTATCGCTTGGCCCACGATGTGCACAGTCCCAGACGGTACTTGCTTGACTGGACCGGACTGGGCTAACTAGGATTGCTAACTGTACTAGGTGGACTACCACCACTTGACCACTTGCCTCTGCTGAACGCAGGCTAACTCCGAAAGGCCACTTCTAGAAATCTTTAACTTGCCCTTTCGGTACTGTAGCAACTACGACTTTGCCCTTTCAGGTAAGTAGCAGCTACGACCTTGACTCTTCGGGTAGTCTACAGCGACAACCTCTGAACTGTCTAGACCCCTACCCTACAAGTCTACAGTTCGAATCCCTCCTACCTTGTGACCTACGAAAGTCTACCTACCACTGGTGATCCTACAGGTCGCAGGTTYAAATCTACGGGTTGCCATCAATACTGTACACAGGTAAGATGGGGAACTAGGGATCGAGCCCTGGGATCTGCATTCGCTACTGCGAACTGGTGAATACCGTTTCACTCCCGCCGGCCTAAATTCGAGGTCCTCCGAGAAAATTTCAGTCCAAGGCAAGACCTTTACCCCTCTGTTGTCTCTCGTAGGCCCGGACGATATCGGGAGCTGTCTCTAGAAGCTCGGATCTTGTAAACCAGCAGTCGTCTTCCGGTTCTTGATAACTAAAATGAACCTTGTACTGTTTCTGTGGACGACCCCTACCTCCAGTTCTGAAGACATCTTCAGCCACGATACCATCGATGTCGTATCTTCCATCCATATCCGGTGGGATCATTGATCTACGGGATGGAAACTGATCACTTGTCTGACAAGGTAATAACTTCGATGCATGGAAAACTGGGTAAGTGTGGAGGTGTGCTGGGAGTTCTATGGTATAGGACGGTCCATCTTCGTCGCCCTTAACTTCTAGAACGGGCCACAGTCCTCTATACGTGGGCAGTAGCTTCTGCGAGATGTTCTTCTCAGGTGCAAACTCCTTAGAACTGACCCAGACTAAGTCGCCTACTTGAAACTGTGAAGGGTGACGATGTTTGTTCGCTTGCTCTATCATCCTATGTTGGGCTTTCCTGAGGTTCTCTACAACAGCAGCTAGTTCTTTCTCGTGCTGTACAGCAAACTCCCTGGTCCCAGGTGGTAATCTGTGAATCTGATCCCGGTTGAGTCCTTCAAACGGTCTGCGCGGTCTAAAGGACTTGTGCAGTTCGTTGGGAGTGCGGCACGTGGACAGATGCACACTGTTGTTATACGCACTAGCTACCTTGGGCAACATCTCATCCCAGTTAATCTGATCTGGTCTAATGTACATGCGCAGAACTTGCTGTAGGATCTTATTCATCTGTTCTGTCTGACCGTTAGTCTCAGGATGGCGGCCAGACGACATCAACAACTTAGATCCATACACTCCCATGAGTTCTTGCCAGTTCTGGCTGGTGAAGCGACTATCTCTACGCTAACTATAGACAGTGGGATTCCATTCTCACTAACCCAATAGTCAAAAAACCTCTGTATGACTAAGTCAGTACGTGCCTCTGAAGGCAAAGGAACAAAAACTGCGTACTTACTAAAACAATCGACTACGACCATGACTTGGCTCTTACCATGCCTGCTCTTGACTTGAGTGTCCATGAAGTCTATGGACACTGAGTCTCCCGGCTGATCCGGAATGGGCAAGGGTCTGAGAAGACCTAACGGGGCACACATAGAAGTTTTGTTACGCTGGCAGACTTTACAACTGCGAACATACTCTACGCAGTCGTTCTTCATCCTTGGCCAGGTGTACGCGCGCATCAAATTAGTTAAAGTCTTTTGCCACCCAAAATGACCCTCTGTGTCATGGCACTCTCCCAGAATCGGACTACGAATCTCTTCGTTGCTGGGAATGCATAGGCGGTCAAAGACATTAGTCTTCTAAAAAAACAACCCTTCAGTAGTGCAGTAGTTTGGCTCAGTCTTTGGGACCTCTCTGACTCTCTTAAGGAGGTCACTATAGATAGGGTCCTGCGCGTAGGCCTCTCTAACCTTTTGTTGCAGGTCCTTCCATATATCGAGGTAGTGCACTATTGCCCCAAAGTAATGTGCTCTCCTACTCAGAGCATCCGCGACTACGTTGTACTTCCCTTTGACAGGCTTGAGCTCAAAGTCGTACTGATCTATCTCTGCGGCCCACCTAGTAAGCTTAGGTGTCATCTTGGCCTGTGTCTTTAACCATCGTAACGTTTCATGGTCAGAATAGACTCTRAAGTGCCTCCCAAGCAAGTAGTGCTTCCAGTGGTCTAAGGCTTGCCTGAGAGCGTAGAGTCCCCTCTCGTAGGTAGATGTCGCGACCTTCTCTGAAGGCATTCTGGCGGACATGAACTCTATGGGTCTATACCCATTGCCATCGTCTTGCTGTAACACTGCGCCTATGTCATACTGACTCGCATCGGTCGTAACGACAAAGGGCAAGGACGGGTCGGCGACTTTAAGGACTGGATATTCTATCAATGCCTGCTTTAACTTCTTCATGGCAGACGTGCAGTCCTTATCCCACTTCCAGATAGTCTCCTTTCTCAACAATCCGCGAAGGGGAACAGCGATGGTGGAGAAGTTCCTCACGAACTTCCGGTAGTAATTGGCTAGGCCCAGGAACGAGCGCAACTCTGTCAGCGTACGTGGCGTGGGCCAATCTCTAATCGCTGCGATCTTGCTATCCTCTGGCTTAACGCCGTCTCCGTCTAAGACGTGGCCTAAGTACAAAACTTGGGTTTTCGCCCAATCGCACTTCTTTGCATTGATCTTGAAGTTAGCTTCCCTCAGCTTCTCCAAGACCTGCCTGAGATGACCCTGATGCTCTTCGAGGGTCTTACTAAACACTAGAAAGTCATCCAAGTAAACTACAACAAATCTATCTAACCATGGCCTAAACAAATCGTTCATACAGCGCTGGAACGTTGCTGGCGCATTGGTCAGTCCAAAGGGCATCACTATGAACTCGTAGTGCCCATATCTAGTTCGGAAGGCTGTCTTGTACTGATCATCAGGATGCACTTCTATCTGATGATATCCGGACTTCAAATCTATCTTGGAGAAATACTTCGCCCCCTGCACTCGATCTAAGAGATCGTCTATCCAAGGCAGTGGCTCAACATTCTTCACTGTAATCGCATTCAGACCCCTATAGTCTATACACATCCTTAGCTCTCCTTCTTTCTTAGGGACAAAGAGAACAGGCGCTCCAAAAGGAGACGAACTTGGCCTAATCCAACCCTTCTCGAGGAGCTCATCTAGCTGTTTGCGAAGCTCCTCTAACTCCCGGGGGGACATCCTATACACGGCACCCTTAGGAGTTCTACTGCCCGACTCTATCTCAATACGGTGCTGGATGGGCCGCGACACTGTTCCTGTTGGCGGCTCAGCTAGTTCCTTAAACTCTTCCAGCAATTTGGCAATAGCAGGGTCTAGGGGCTTCTCTTCCTTGGGCTCAGTCACTGGCCTAACATAGGCAACAAAAACCTGTTCCTCCAATTTCTCCTTCTTCACTAATCTGGCGAATGCAGGCGCACTAAGGCAGCAATGTGCCAATGGATTTTCTACTCCTGACACGTGGAACAGGCGGGCAGTCTTAGCCTCGCCCGAAGAACTAGGGAGCCTACACTCGTGCTCCTTCAAATGGAGCGTGGCCCCAGCTACCTCTCCCCAATCCATTCCCAGAACAATATCAAAGGGGAGGCTGTCTTCTACGAGGAGAGTCAGGGAGTGGAGAACCTTCTCCACTTTCCCATATTTCTCTAGGCGGAAGTACGCCTGAACTCCCTCTACATAATCCTCTACAACCATTATGCGATTGTCCGCGAGGATACTAACTATAGGGTTTGCTAGCTTTTGGACTTTAAGTCCCAGCTTCAACTTCTGCAGCGCTTTTTTACTAATATAGCTGCGGGTGGCCCTTGAGTCTACTAGGGCCCCTACTCTACTTCTAAAAATCTCTGTATCTAATAAAATCAGCTGCCCTTTATTCTCCTTCTTCATCTTGGCCCAGGCCGGGCCTCCTCTCCTTCAACTCTTCGGCCACGCCTGTGAGGGAGGTGTCTAGCGAAACTCTGACACAAGCAGTTTCGAGACAGCGGTCTAGACACCGGCCTGCAACCTCTGCGATAGACACATGTGGTGTGGGAGTCTCCTGCCGACTAGCGCTATATTCCCCACATGGCCTAGTGGTAGGGGCAGTTGCTACCCCTACCGGCGGCTGCCTTTTGGCCCTTGGGCAGCCGTTCGGTCTCTCTATACTTGGGACAGTATTTAATGATATGGCCCGGGTCACCGCAGAAAATGCACTGGCCCCGGTCCAATCGTTGTTGCCATAAAGTCTGGTCCAGACCCAAAGATTCCCAAGGCCTACCCTGAGGTAGCCCTGGATGCCATCCTCCTACCCTATAGGGTGACCTGTTCCTAGGACGGTTTTGCGAGGGACCTTGACCCCTGCCTCCCGCTTGGCGGTTTCCTCCTCTGCCGCCAACCCCCTGATCGCCCTGGAACCGGCTCCCTGAGGCCCGGCCCCCTTGGCCCTGGCCTCGTCCTCCTTGCGGCCTCCCTCCAGCCGCGACAGCAGCGTAAGTCCTCCCCTGGCCCACACCACTGTCCTCCTCCTCTAACCCCCACTCAATCTGATCGTAGGGGATCTCGTCCACACTACCCTCATCTAAGGTCAGGACAAGGCTATCCTTAGTCTTCACTTGCCCAGAAATAGTGCGGCCCTTCCATTGCTTTCCCTTATCCAGATCTTTGTGCCAGAAGGTAGACAGGGACACGGACTTAGATTCAAAAGCCACCACCTCACGGCTAAGGGAATCGTAGGTGGTGGCAGGGTCTTCGCTCTTCGCGAAGAACTGCCCTCGAAAGGCCTCGGGCATAGCCCGATAGAAGAGATTGACCAATTGGGCCTCTGTGACCCCATGGTCACGGACGGCCACCAATTCATCCATCGTACCCTTGAGTGCCCTAGCACTCTTCCATTTACGAGCGTGGATGGTCTGGAGCTTGTTTGAAGCTTTAACACTGCGAGCAACATCTGCAAACCGCTCGCACAGCAATTTCATGAACTCGGTGAGGGACGTGAATGAGGAGTACGCAACTGGATCGTCACTACAATTGGCAGCGCGAACTAGGGACCTTGCAAAGTTGGCGGCCTCGTCTCTAAGCGCGTGGATCGCAATTAGGACCTGCTGATCCGGGGAGACCTATTGCAAATGCACATAGGTCTTGACGTTGGCCTCCCAATTGTCAAAGTTTTCTTCCCGTTTTCCACTGTAGGAATCAGGGAATTTGACTTTGACCGGCTCCCTGCGAGGAGAACATGCTTCCTCTCCTTGGGAGCTGCCGCTTTAACGACTTCAATGGCGCTGGCACAGAACCGCTCGGTCTTCTCGAGGCGGTGACTCACCTCGGACCCCACAGCGCCTCCTAACTCGCGAGCAAAGTCCCGCAGTCCCATTCACATCGACCGCACAGATATATCCTGGCTGCGACTAAACTCATAGTGTTGTTCTTGCACTTTAGCTAACCGCTCAACGCTCTGGGCGATGATCTCCACTTTGCGTTGGAGATCTACTTGCGGAGTTAATTGTGTTGTTAAAGCAGTCCTCACCTCCGCGAGTTCTTGCATTGCTGCATTTGCCGCCTCCACTCTCCTCTTCTTCTCCCTTATCATTGCGAGTTTCCACTCCATCCTCTGTTCATCCTCCATCGCCCGCCGCGCCAGAACATCTTCTTCTGTTTCCCATTTTTTCATGGCGGCTTCCTGCTCGTCCTTGGGAATGTACATAGCCACCTCTTCTTCTTTTCCCAAGGATAAGTTGGCAACCCATTCCGAGATCTTTCTCTACATTTCTTCGTCTTTGTTGCCACTGTACTGCCCCCTATTCCTTACTAGTGGCGTTTCGTCTTCTTCTTCTTCTTCCACCTCCTTCAACTTCGCCTCCTCTTCCTTCTTGATTCTCTCCTTCTCTCTGGCCATCTCTTCCTCGATCTTCTTCAACTTGGCCGCCTGCTCCTCCAGTAGGGCCTTCTTCTTGGCCTCTTTCTTTTCCTTTCTCTCCTGCAGGATGGCGGTCATCTTCTCCTCCTCCTCCTTCGTGTATGGCTGGGTGGAAGTACCACCACGAGTGGGCCCTACTCTACACGTGAAAGTGGGCCAGAAGCCCAGAGGAAAGAGGAGACGCCAGAGGATCCCCCAGAGGGAGAACCCCACAAGCAACCCATACATCGGATGGTCATCCATTGTGGTGTTGGGTGCACGATAGAAGTCCCACTCCTCACCACTTAGACCTACCCGGACACACTGACCTACTGACTGACTCTCTAAGATCCACTACTCACAACTACTCTAAGGCTGTCACTACTGAACCCAAAGCTGATCAGGAGGCATTTAAGGAGATCCCCCAAACTCCGCAAGAATCCTTTAACGTCGCAGACACGACGTGATCAGCTTGGTTCCTCTGGCGATTTCAGCCCACAACTCAGCCGTTCCGGCCTACTGTGCCACACCGAGCAGCCCGCCGGTCTGTACCGGTCCTTGGAGGGGTTCGTGTCCCTCGGGACAGACGAGTCGTCAGACACAGATCATCAGCCTTACTAGGTCCGGTAGGGGAGTGGCTCAACCAGGCCTCAACACTTAAAGACGGCCTTCGTTTCAGCCCACAGCTCGGAGTTCGGACCCTCCACCCTGAACTCAGTAGACCTGCCGGACAGTACCGGTCATTGGGCTAGACGAGTTGTTTAACGAGCGCTCGCCGCTCATGCCCAGGTCTCCAGATGCCAGAGTAAAGCTTTGGTCCTACTAAGCCCGTGCAGGTTTGGCAGCAAGGCCCTATCCTTCATCCACAGAGTCCTAGCACCTAGGACAGAAGAGACTCAATGCAGAAAGAGTAGACAGACAGACTCAGCAAGTACCGTGGGGTAAGTGACATCCACAGGGTAAGGGGATAGGCTAAGGGCTCAACGAGATATCACCAACTCCATCTTGGTCAAAATCTTGGTCAGAAGCTCCGGTCAACGCTGAGTCAACGAGGTCAACCCCAGTCAACGCTTGGTCAACACCCCTGGTCAACGCATGACCAATCCTCTGGTCAACCCTTGCTCAACCCTCTGGTCAACGGTCTGGTCAACGCCCGGTCAACTCCTCACCTCGGCTATGGCTGCCGGCACCTCCACCTTCGTCACCCTCACCGTCTACTTCCCCTTCCTTCACTTTCTTCCTTCTTCTCTTTCACTGTTTTTTTTTTTTTGTTTTTTGTTCACCCCCGGCTATGTCTGTCTTCTTCTTCAATCTCCTCCTTCCACACTTCTCCCTCTCTCCACCGGACTCCGCAAGTTCGCCTTACAGGTAAGTGACAACCAATCTTGGATCGCTCATCTCTCTCTCTCTCACTCTCTCTCTCTCTCTCACACACTCTCTCTCTCTCTCTCTCTCTCTCTCTCTCTCTCTCTCTCTCTCTCTCTCTCTCACCGTAGCGGTATCTTCAGCGCAGCAGGTAAGAACCCAATCTTGTATCTCTCAT